GTTCTTATTTAATTGGTTCCACATTGTTTGCTGATTTTTACTTTATTTAAACTTTGTGTCATTTATAAAAAAAAAAATTTACATCAAGGTGTATACATACACGGCATGTGCCTCCAAGCTTTCTTACTCGTTTTGCTAATAAACTTTCTACGTTTCTTATTTATTTGGTTATATATTATACATGTTTACTTAGCCTATTTCCAGTTTTGTATACCTATTTAAACTTTATGTAAGTTATTTGTTATTTTATATTAGGCATAGCCTGCCCAATAGCATGGTGTATTTTTATTTGTTTTGTTAATAAAAGTTCTATGTTTTATATATAGGCTAAAGTGAGTTTGACGTTGTATTTTGTTGTTGCATTCAAGCAATTGACACCGAACTGCCGCTAATTTGAAAGTGAAGCCCCAACGGTGATACCGGTATTACCGGTGTTGTCACACTTCGATTAACTGGTGAGAAAATTTCCTCACAGCTACAACCCTACAAAAAAACAACCAAAACAACACAACACAACACAACACAACACAACACAAAACCAACCAAAGCAAACAACACCAACCAAACCAAACCAAATCAAAACAAAACAACACCAACCAAAACAACACCAACCAAACCAAAACAAAACAAAACAAAACCAACCAAACCAATCCGTGTATCATTCGATCATTCGTTTTTTGATTTAATATTGAAAGTAGAAAAATGAGAAAACGAGAATTCAGCTTAAATTTTCGTTTTTCGTTCATGGGTGGAAAAATGAATAAACGGCTTGAATATTTGATTTCTACATGTGGGCAGGAATTAAACGCCCCTTTCTGCTGATTGGTCAGCCGAAGATCAAACCGTGCCGTCATCAGGGCTGCGTAAACAACACAACACAACACAACACAACACAACACAACACAACACAAAACCAACCAAAGCAAACAACACCAACCAAACCAAACCAAATCAAAACAAAACAACACGAACCAAAACAACACCAACCAAACCAAACCAAAACAAAACAAAACCAACCAAACCAATCCGTGTATCATTCGATCATTCGTTTTTTGATTTAATATTGAAAGTAGAAAAATGAGAAAACGAGAATTCAGCTTAAATTTTCGTTTTTCGTTCATGGGTGGAAAAATGAATAAACGGCTTGAATATGTAGACGGGGCTTGAACATGAACAAACATGAACCACAGGGAATACAAACATGAACCACAGGGAATACTCGTCTTTTAAAAGGCTTCAGTTAGATGTATTTGACGTTAAATGCATCATATAAGTCACTTTGGAATAAATCACAGTAGGCCTATGTATCATGATAAAAAAAACCCGACTTTACAGTCTGGAAATACTTTAGGCTACAGCAAATTATTTCTTGGACCCCCTGTCACTTTAAGAACCGCTGGTCTACACAGAAGAAAGACCTGTCTAGACTCTGCCCCGGTATGAGTTGTGTCGAGCTATTCATCAGACTGTTTGATGAGAAAAATATGAAATTGATAAAATGGGTTATTAATCCGTACAACTGCAGCAGTGGAGGACTATTATTCTGCTGCGTGATACTGCGGAAGAACTGATGAAGGCACGGTTTGATCTTCGGCTGCCCAATCAGCAGAAAGGGGCATTTAATTCCCGCCCACATGTAGAAATCGAATATTCAAGCCGTTTATTCATTTTTCCACCCATAAACGAAAAACTTAAATTTAAGCTGAATTCTCGTTTTTCGGAAAAATACGAAAAAGGAGCCGTTTTCTCATTTTTCTACTTTCAATATTAAATAAAAAAAACTAATGATCGAATGATACACGGATTCAAACCAAAACCAACCAAAGCAAACCAAAACAAAACCAATCAAACCAAAACAACACCAACCAAAACCAAACCAAACCAAAACAACACCAACCAAAGCAAACAAAACAAAAAACAAAACCAACCAAAGCAAAACAAAACAAAAAACCAACCAAAGCAAACAAAACAAAACAAAAAACCAACCAAAGCAAAACAAAACCAACCAAAGCAAACCAAACAAGTACTTTCTTTTTGGTACTTTTTGTTAATAGTCAAAACCAGACAAAACTCAAACAAACAAACAAACAAAAGGGTTAAAAAGTCTGAAGAAAAATTGTTGGTACTTTTTGTACTTTTTTATTAGTGCACACAAAACAAAAAAACAAAAGCTAAACACACACACACACACACACACGCGCGCGCGCGCGCACACACACGGTTAAAAATAAAATCTGACATTATCATAATTGACTGCATTTTTTTTCTTTTGCAATAAAATGACACTATATAATTTACTGAAATACAATGAATGTCTTTTTCTCAGTATAAAGGCAGTGCAACAAATACTACCATGATGCATTAATGCTCTATAATTTTAATATATTGTAATTTTTTTTACTTTATAAATACAGTTGTATACATTGTATCCGTTTAAATGTACAATACAGAATTTACGACATTAAAAATTTAAAGTTAGGATTGATTGATTATTGACTGACTGACTGATTGATGCTAT